TAGTTTGTTTTGCAGTAAGAGTGTGTTGATATTAATAGAATAGGCAGCGGCTAAGGAGAGCCTCTCTTTTTTGCAGAAATATGATATATCCTTTATCAACTTTATCCATACTGCGCTCATGTAATTCGTATCCTGAAAAAGGGTGTATATATGAACATTATTCAGAAAAGCTGACGTGACACTATTATTTAGTCATGGAAATGCAGAAGATATGGGTATGATTGGATCGTATTTTGAAGAAATGGCTACCCTTTGGAAGATAAATATTTTCATTTACGAATATCCAGGTTCTTCTCAAGAAAAAGAGAGAGTTTTCCTTTTTACTTTATCCTAGTTTTTTTTAAGCGAGTGGATGCTTAGCTTTTCTGAAATATTAACATTTCATGCAATCTCATACATTTTTTTGTAGGTTATGGCTTGAGTGATGGTGAAGTTTCAGAAAATGGCATATATGAAAGTGTGGAAGCAGCCTACAAGTAAATTAGTTTTTGGATATTCTGTTTTTGATTTTTATGGAAATAAGTATCTCTATGAAATTAGATAACTTTTCTGTCTCTCCTTTGATAACACAGGGACTCCTAAAAGAATTAAAATAACTTTAATAGTATAATGTTGTTATGCATTCTATTTTTTTATAGATATCTGACAGACATTCATAACATTTCTCCAGAACAAATTGTTGCGTATGGTCGATCCTTGGGTAGGTGTGATCTCTTGGTTTTGCACTTCCTTTTGTCGTAGAGTATTTTATAGTGAATTTTGTACAAATGGGGCAGTCGTTTTTGTATTATTAATAATAATTGTTTTCATCCGTTAGTTACCTATTTGTATGGATTTGAAGATACCTCCATGGTAGAGTTGTACTGTTTCTATAAAGTGATTCTCTTGTTAGTTTTGCTTTGAAAATCAAACAAAAAGGGACATGTTTTCACTCTAATGAAGAGAAGGACACCCTTGTCAGGATTCTACTAGGAATGATTGGGTGTAGCTTGTTTATTTTCTTATATATCACAGGAACCGCTGCATGTTGTCATCTTGGAGCCTTATCTCCTTTACGTGGATTGATTTTACAAAGTCCAATGTTATCTATTTTACGTATTGTGCTTCGACTGCGGATATCCCTTCCTTGGGATATGTTTTGCAACATTTATAAAGTAAAAGCTTTGCCTATTTACTTTTATGCAAGAATCGCATCGTAAAACTGTTTTTGTTTATTTCCATAAGAAGGAGAAATTGTAGGAATAATCCATAAATAGAAACATTTACAGTAGCAATTTTTTTGAGGATAGTTTTGTGGGTGAAGCCGGCATTCTGTGTACCTAAATTTTGGATATGTGAACCACTGCTAGCCAGTTAGAAACAAGTTTATTCTAGTATGTAAAGAAGCCTTCATTTTATATTTTTGTTATTTAATCAAAACGATTTTTCACTCTTTTTGTATTTCTTTTTGAAAATTGTTTTTACTTTCATTTCTATGCTTTTTTTTTGTAGATTCGTCATGTCGCATGTCCAATATTTATCATTCATGGAAAGGATGATGATATTGTTCCTGTGTATCATGGAATGGTAAGCGCACCCCCTGCTAATTGAAACTCTGTGATTTCTTCTATGAACTCTTTGTTGCTTCTTAATCCGCTGTTTAGAGGGTGATTTGTGTTTTTTTTTTTAAATTCAAAAATGCCCCATAAAAGCGAAATTCACTACCTTCATTTACTTACGACTCTCAAGTTATTTCTGTTGATGCATATTTTCTTCATCGCTCGGCCCAGTTGCATGGTAAACTTTTTGGTGATGATGTGTGCGGTTTGATGGCGATGCTACTTTTTCATATTGTTTTTTTAGGATTTGTTTCTTTCTTCCAAATCAGCCGTTATGCCTTACTGGGTAGAGGGTGGTAAGCACAACAACTTGGAAGATCGAAACTTGTTTGACTTAAATTTCTACATTCAGGAATTTTTACATTATCTTGATAGCATTAGCGTACCTAAAAAAAAATCTTCAGCGAACGTATAACCGCAGTTCATGATTCTACGTTAAATTTTGATATGGCAGCATCTAGCTAGGCGTGGAGGCGCATTAAATTGAGATCCATGTAATTTTTATTGATCTAAGTTTCATGCTTTAGTAATCCGCATTCCCTGCTATAAATTAAGAATTGGCTACTTTTTTAGTAATTTGAGACAGCTATTGGATTTCATCTATGGCTGGGAATATGTAAGTGAATTTTGGCAAGCATTAAACTATCCCATGAATGTGGTTGATTCTCACACTACCTGCTTCCGCTAATTTTTAACCCCTTGCTACTCCCCCAAACAGCATCATTAGTAGGAATAACTGTGAGCAGAACCACCAAGTTCTAGTTGCACTTGCCAAATAATTTTTTCATGCTGCCACTCGGAGCATGAACAAGAAACGAGTCACCATCTTGGTATTTATTTTCATGAAAAGTAGCGCAAGCTAATTTAATATTTACTTGCATCATATCTTACAAGGCATATGTGTTACAGTTATGTTGTCGTAAATTTTCTTTTGCCGTCGGTTTTCTAAAGCAACTTCTTACATCCTCTAAGAAATTCAAGAGCGTAAAATCAGAGGAAGTGGTAAACATCTAGATCGCTAATTGATATTAATCCTTTCTCGATCATGGTATTTAGATTTAATGCGCATCGCAATAGAAAAAGAGCTCAATGCTTGCAAAGAACGCCAACTCTCCTCCATTCTTAAAATTGATTAAATCAAAAGCATGTGTTAAGCATTAACGCGTAAATTCCTACTGCAACTATTGATTTTGAATTTGCTGCATCCGTATAGATATTATCCCGCAAGCTTTAGCAAAAATGAAAATACAATACATATGCCAGTGAACTGAGGGCAATACAAACAAATTTGCGTCGTGACAAACAGAATTTACTCTACTGCTGAAAAAAAATCATATTGATTGAGATATTACAGGAAGCAATGCAGAAAATAATATAGCCAAAAATGGAGGCTAGGCTACCCTAATATTTGCAAATTTTCTGTCCAATTGCATGTTACAAAAATAGGTGACACTGTCGTCAAAAAATATCCAAAATATCCATCAATGAATAAACGTGTGAATATAACAATATTCACTCTATGCGTAAACAGCTCCCAGGGGGGAGATTGCTTTTTTTCCAGCTGATACTGCGACGAAATTTAAAGCTCATCATATTTTCATTTATAAAGCTTTACAGCATAATAATAATATTGCTTCGAGCTTATTAATATTTTCATACATATCTATGTAGACGAGCTACCCAACTATGACAGGAGGAATGGGGGCGTCCCCATCAGCATCATTGTTGTCTTTAAACGATCCGCCTGCTTGATTTTCATGACTTCGCTGCCGCTTATGCTGCTCAAGATGATCAGCATCTCTACATATATATCCACACACAGTGCACTTCCACTGTGACTTTCTCTTGATTTTAGGAAAGAGGACACTGCCATCAACGACATAAAACAGTTTACTTGACTGAAAAAAAGAGAAAATAAAAAGAATTGAGCAACTATAGAGCGGTTAATCTTTTTGAAAAACTCAGCGTTAATCAGCATACGTCAAAGCAAATTGACAAAGAATTTTGGAAATGTGATTTATACGCCTCAAACAATAAAAGTGACAAATTGTTTCATTAATAGAAACAAAGAATACATTATCGAGAAAGTGCGCAAAACCCTCCTCAATGTAAATATAAATGAAAAGCATACCTCAGATGGAGGGTTACACTGATAACCAATCAGTTCCTCACACTGACAGCATCGATGATGGAATTGAGTTTCAATGCCTTTTAATCGTTTTACCTTAATAGGACCATTTACAGTAGTATTTAAACGTACCTGTAATTTTACAAAGATGACATAAAATAAGCGTTCATGCCATTGTTTTTCTAGCCTATGTCCTCTCGATTGAAAGTATGGGGGCTAAGGAAATAATGGAACAGAGAACACTCCACAGTTTTAGTGAATAAAGACAATTCAACTTGTAAACAGCACACCAACATTTTTACATTAGGAAATATAGATCCTGTTTGGTGGCTACAAATTATTCAAAAAGCATGCTAGATAGCTATTGCATATCGATAGAGCCAGGGAGAAGGTAAACGTCAATGTATTGAAGTGGAGTCTACACAACATTTTACAGCGTAGGCTCCACCTTACCATCCACTTTTGCATATCGAAAACAGCAGCATTATCAGTTCTCCTGCGGGGTAAGGAATCTAACGGTGCATCTGTAATAAGACAGTGCGTCGTGCAGCTTTTACAATGCAACACATTGAACTTCTCTTCGGTAAGATTACGGTTAGCATTTGTGAAGATGCTATTTCTGAAAGAAACTACTTTTGGCATTGTTCTTTACGTTATGATGAGGGACATGATACAGCCTCATATGCAAAGATAAATTTAAAAAAAGTTTCACTGTATTGTTCAGCTTTTCACGACAATCACTCCGATATATTCCATGCTATCCTAATTAATATTTGCCGTAAGCTAATTTCACTTCAATGTACTGATAGGATGCTGCGAGCTTTACGGCGATAAACTGCTGCATTTACAAATGGATGAACAAGGAGCACGAAAAGCTACTTGAGCTGAAAAATTCCATCGTTGAGCAAGATAGAAGAAAAAATGGACAAGTTCTTGGCTTCAGGCAGTAGAAGAAACAGATTTAAAAGAATTCTTATTAAATAGTTGGGTCGCATTCGACAAGTAGAAATAGTAAATGACGTAGCAGGAAAGAATGCTAAAAAAGCAAGGACATCAAAAAATGGAAAAAACAAACAGAACAACTTTACTAGGCAAAATAATCATAAGTTAGTTCGTACAAACTTGCTGTGCCACCCTGCTTCCAAGACATTGGCAATGTTTTGAAAATAGGTCAAAAAGTAAAGAGTACGAAAATGTTTTTCAATCATCTGCAACAACGACCTTGAAATAAGAACGAAAACTCTGCCTGCTAAAGCGAAAATAATTTCAAAAAGTCCGGCGAGCTGGAATCGAACCAGCGACCATCAGATTTCCGCTCGTCTACAGTCTGCTGCTCTACCAACTGAGCTACCGCCGGTCTACAAAAGATCATACATGCACTAGTTTCTACAAATAAATGTTTCAGGGATCAAATGTAGCAGAGCATCAACAACATACGCAGTAAATTTGTAGGCTAGAAAATAAGCGGTATGCGATAATTTGGCCATTTTCTCGTATGCATAGTATTGTTCTGTTTCTATTCTACTAAGCAATTTTCTCTATCGAACTAACTCAACAACCAGTTTCTGTTACTGTTCTCGAGTTTGTAGAGCCCATCAACTCTTGGAAAAATGAAGAATGGTGGACAATTGAGAGGTCAAAAACGGGAAAAGTTGAATATGTAAACATATCTTGCAAACGCATGAACTTTAACATGATGGAATGCTTCAAGATGCCATATCGAAAGGAACACAAAAAGCAATTTCCAATCATTTCTCTTTAGCAAGGTTCAGCTATGTCAAGATGAATAGACACTTTCAAAAAGGATCAGGGAGCGCTATTATTTTTATCAAAATTATAGTGAAGATTTGTGTGAAAAAGCAAGGTCTTTAATTCTAACTGTAATTCATTTGAATATATTATAGAAAATAAAATACTTTAGCTAATTTATACCAATATTTAACCTTAAATATTTTTCATTTTCCATTTCTTTCGTTTGCCAGTATGTCCTTCCGTTCGTGTAAATGAACTTCTTTATTTCTATCATATTTTTCATTTTCTCATGTAACTTTTAGGGCCGAATACAGTACGCAGCCCTGCTTCGGGCCATTTTTTATCGAAAGATGTCCTTTCAAGCATTTCCATAATGAAACTAAATATTTTTATATGCCCTCCCACATCTAAAAAAAAGATTGTCTGCTAGAGAAAAGAAAACGGTTTCGCTTTTAATTCTAACAGTAGCACTTGGACAGTGCTATCATTGTTTGACATCTCGTCGAATTAATGGCTAAATAAATATTTACGACATTCAGTTATTAGTTTTATTATTCCATACGTCACGATAAACAACTGAATATGTACTCCTTTTAAAGATTTTTTGATCTAGATTTAGCATTGACAAGTGGAATTAACAATAGGGCGTGCTTCTTTGTTAAGGTTTAAACGAGCCAACTTATAGAAATTACAAGACTATAGAAACCTTCACGTGCATATAATCTCCCTTATGCGTTCGTTCATTGACTAGCACAATCGTTGAGGAGATGCAAAGTAATCTCTATTTATTAATGAGCATACCGATCAATTTCCCCTAAATACTCAACTTTCTCTAGTTTAAAAGCATGTTTGTTTTCCCGTCTTTTTGTTCTCTGTTTAGGCGCAGTTTATCTTACTATGCGTAGGTTCGTATTCATTTCTCATATGAAAAGATCGCTATCAGACAAACAATGATAATCTTCTTTTATTCTTTTTGAAATATTTAGTAAATAGAGGTCCTGGGATTGATATTAAGCAATCTCTTCAATGAGACATATTTCACCTTACTTTACCAGTAAAAGATTCCTAATTGATATCATATCGACAAAATATGCCAATTCGCCAGTAAAAGAAGCGGACAGGTACAGAAATTGCATGCAATATATACAACGCTCGCAGCATACAAATTCCCCTCAAATTTCATCTATTGATTTTCTTTTGAAATAAAAAAGATTCTGTTCATGAGACTAAAAATTTTTGCATTGCCAGTGCATACAACCATCCCTTGGCTTATCCCCATTTCCATGCATCGGGCAAAATTGACACATAGAAATAAATCAGCGGTCTCTTTACTGCAAACAGACAGGTAACATTTTAGTTATGGAACCTGGTTAGTAAATTTCAGCAATGGAGTGATTGCTCTAAAGCCCCGTTTGAAGCAGTGATAGCAAACAGAGTGCGTGACCTCTCTTCACATGCCGCCCCGGGAGATCCCCTTTATTTGTGCTTCCTGCATTTTCCGGCAAGGCACACTAATTAGGAAGAGCAACTTTTGGTTACACACGTGTGCAGCAAAATCAACCAGCGATTAGCCCCTGATGGAAAACTTCTCACTGGGCGTTTAGTTTATCGGTAACAGCAGCGCAATTTGTGCAAAGCGAGGGGAAGATTAGCATGTACCGTTAGTACCCACCGAAAAAAGTTTGATTTTAAACCTCAAAGTAATAGTAGAGTAGTTGGCTTTACAATGTCATTTTTTAAGTTTTGCTATTTCAGTTGGTAGTTGAAATTACACTATGCAGTAGTATCGGCGCAACGTTGCGAACATAGTTGAGTGTAACAGTAATTTACTGGAAGAATACTCCAGGTACGCTTTACATGACATGTTATGAAAAAATGTGTTTATATGGTTGTTTTTTTTCTTAGGAAAATTTGATGGTGGGGCTTATGTTTTGTCCTTGTATGGAAAATCATTATGGAAAATCATTTATTTTTTTACTCGTAAATATGTAATTTTGTTGCACCAATGTTGTAGTTCGACAGCACTAGATTTAGTCGGCAAGTTTTTTGAAATTTTATGTAATAGTTTTTCTTTCATAGAAATTTCGTATTGAGTAAATATTCTGATCTCATGACCCAATGAGTACTTCGATGAATCATCTCCAGTCGCATATTGATACTAACCACTCAAATGGGAGCGATGTTGGATACATTGACTATTATGAAACTCCCACGTGAGTAATCTGCTATATTCTTCAAGATTGCCCTTTTTTTGTAGGAGCTTTTGGAAAGATGGCAGCTTTAAATTTGTTTTCCGAGTTGGGATTTCCTGGACAATTCAATGAAGATTCGTATATGTTGGGGATTCCTCACAAGAATGATGTCTTTAGAAATTCCACAATGTATACAAAAAAGTGCGTTCCGGATGTATTATCACCGGCACCACTTCAGTGCCCTAGTGAGCGGGAGTACTCTCTTGATAATAGCTTCTTTTCCTCCAGCATTCTCCCATGGAGTAGTGACGAAACCATGAAGAAAAGTTCTTCTCAATGTGATGGCATTGATAATTCATGTTCATTTCGTGAGCAAATACCATTAAGGAAACCGGTAAAAAATCTATTACAGCATTCTCTATTCGCTGTTGAAAAGCTATTTCGCGAAAGGCAAAGTTATCCCAAGGCCACCGTATCTACTGACGTAGAATCTCTCTCTGACTCAACTGTTTTTCAATCTCCTATTCAAAGACTGTGTGATCGCGCTCACTCCAGTGAAACTACTACCATCGTGTCGAATTATGATGAATCATCTGACCATGCATCGAGCAATATCTCCTATTCCGTTGCAGAAGGTGCGTTGCGGTCCCCTTTAAAAAGTCGTCGGCTGGAAATTTTGAATCGGTTAGGATACTGGATTAATTGGTCTTTGGAAATGCAAAGCATGTGCTCGAGAGTGTACAAATTGTTACTGGAAGAGATTGAGGGGGATAAAGCTCCTTACTTAGATCCTATAGAAAGAGAATGCATTACGTCATTTCTGCTGGCGGAGGCTACCCGCTGTGGTAACACGTCGCCACTCAGTTGTGTGGACCTGAGATCGAAGATTCACAATTCGTTTTTAAAAGAGGATCTCGTGGATTATTCCTTGATAAAATTAAATACAATTAACAGAGTGGAGAGCCAAGCAATAAGTGGAAATGGCAAATTCAAAGAAGATGACCGAGTAGGCATTGAAGTTATGGCTAGTAACGATGTAATTGGAAAGCCGGACGTTACAAAGCAGCTGATAAGTAAACTCAGTCAAGATAATGGTAGAAAGAGTATGGATGTAAAATGTAATTCTAGTGATATCTCAACAGTTGAATCGATTACGGACATCCCACATTCAAATCATGAAAGAGATTCTCCAAAGATTCAACAAATGCCTTTTCATAACGCCTCTATAAAGCGACCTTTATGGTCGTTTCCAAAAGAATGGTCAGATTATAATTTTCCTTATGCAAGAGGCATGACTAAGCCATCCCAATTAAAATTTCTGGCCTCTGCAAATGTTGTTGGAAAGCTCTTTGATTACAATGGTTAGAGAGCATATAACTTTTTTGCCTGGTAACGCATGGGTGAAAATGGACGCATAAATCGATTTTGCAAAAGTTCGAGCAGCAAGAATCTTGATAATGCTTTTCATGATTTTTGTTCAAAAAACGTGAATGAGACTCCTACTTACTAATTAATATCCATTCTATCATATTAGGTGAAAATATCCGCATGCTACAGAGCCGCTTTAAAGTGCGTATTTCTACTAGCGGCAACCGTGTTTTCTATCCTGGAACTGGAAAACAAGTTCTTTTAATAAAAGGTAAGGGATAGTTTGTCTCCTATCAAATGAAAAATCCTGTTTTTTCTAGCGTTTAACCTGCATGTTTTTGTCTGTCGCTTCAAAATTAAGAATAGTACAAAAGTGGCATTTTTACGAATTATTTTGTGGAATTTCAGGCCAATTGATGGATATTTTGCATGCTTTACGTACTGTCTTTGTTATGATGGTTCCTGACGTATTGGAGGTGGATAACATGTCGACCAATTTCGATGCTTCCATTATTCGGGTATTGGAATAAAGATAAGAAACGCCAGGGTGGAGCTACACTTCTCTCTAAATTGTGCCACTGGCTTTACATTTACAACGCTGTTAAAGGTGTTTGCTTTCTTGTGATCTTCAATTTTTAACTGTTTTTGTGTATATGATAAAGATTTTTTACGATTGGATACAGCGGCATTTTGAATGCTTTTTATGCTGGAGACTTGCGTATGTATGCTATATTTTTCAGTTTGAACTTAGTGTAGTTATTCCTTCTACGACCAGCAACAAAATTCTTTCATCCAAAGGCACACAAATACAATGGATACAGAAACGAACAAATGCTCGTATTCATGTAACATGCATGCGATTTGAATTGGGAGATGTTCAGGTAAAACAATCGTTTTGAATATCAAGTAGTGGATGAAAATTTGAAGGGTTAAGAAGAGAGACAAACGTTTTTCGTATGAATTTGACTCCGGGTAGGAACGCTAGGCTAGTAACTTTATGAAGGGTATTTTAAGAGTGTGCTTGTAAGTACTCGGTTTTCTATTT